TATCAAGTATGAGAAGTTTAATATGAATGACAGTAAAATAAACATTTGCAATATAGTTGAAGAGTTGTTGGTGTCCAAAAAATCCTATGATTGTTTCAAATAAATATTATTTAAGAATTTATATAGTATGTGATAATATTGTAATTTTTATCTCTGTTTCATTGCTTGGAAGACTTTTATTTAAATTATTCATAAACATTGCTGTAATGATGATAATATGAAAGGAAAGGGAATTTATAATTTTAACACCTGCAAAAGTATTGGGGCTCACTAGATATTCTAGTTTGAGGTAGTTAGCTGTTATAGCAAGACTGTTTCCACTTGCAGCAATTTTTTTTCTATATACAAGTGCATAATCTACAGAAATGAAAACGAAGATTTGAGGAACATAATCTTACTTATCAGTGGCTAATGGAATAGCTGGTTTAGGCAATCCTCCTCATCCCATCTTAGTACAGGCCTCTAAGAGTACTTGGAAGAAAGCTCCAAGATAAATGATATCTACCCACTAATAAAGATTATACGAGATATCACTGTATGGTAATAGAATAATTAGGATACAGGTTTTTTTAAAGCCTTAACATTGACGTGGGAGATATTTTTAATAGGGTTTTCATTAGGACTTGTCTTCTCAATTGTAATCCATAGCCTCAAAAGGATCTTTTAAAAAATGTTGCTGTTAGATATGCAATTTTACATGTTCAATGAACCCAAAATTGGAGGATGGAGATATTAGTTTAGTATCAAGAGTGAAGATGTGAACTCAAGCATTACAATTTACTCTATGTTGAAGAATCATTTATGTCCTTTGTACAACAGTTATGCAAGAGTATGGAAGTTTAGAATTCAAGCTATGTATATATAAATTTCAAAATGTGTTTTCAGAATTCAATTAGTTTACATCTCTTTAAGAAAGAAGAAAAAATGGGCTTTCTTCAACAATAATGTTTGTTTTATAAAACAATAACAAAGCATGTTATTGTCTTTAATTTAAATATTAGAAGATAAAAAATTACAATGAAACTTCAATTTACCAAAACTATGCAACAGACTGTGTGTGAAATACATCAATTTTGATTACTTGTAATTTGTGTAATAAAAATATATAAAACACACAGATAATAAATGTTCTAAAATTTTATGAGCATGTGATTAGTGGGGATCCTATGTTCCAATTAGTCTACTAAAATGAAAATTATTAATGTGATCATTATCTTCGAAGTCCTAGTGACTTGAAAAACAAAGACCTTTCCTGAAAGGATGAACAAGCCATGTGCTTTGGAAGAATCATACAACTCTTATGTGAAGTAAGAGTACTGTTGCCTGTGCACACACATTAATACAACTGGAACATTTTTTAATCAGCTACACAAGCCTTCCAAACATACAGCTGTGCCATGATTTTATGCAAAGCAAGTGCTTTCCATAACTTAATTTTATTGTAATATAAAATTACTAGTAATATAATATAGTAATTTTATAGTAATATTACAGACTAACTGTTCAGGGTGGTGGTAATCGCTCTGAAGTTATCAAAAGTAATACAGAGGAGTAATATATAGGAGCCTTTGAGAAAACTATGAAAATAGTTTTTGCTTACTCCAGGTAATGTTTTAAACTGTTTATTTTTAGTTATAAAAATAATTACCCACAATATATAGACAACACTACAACAATCAGTGCAAGTTCTGTCCTAGTATTGTTAGCCATTCCTTTATCTTTTACATACAGTTTGCATTGCTGCCTAGGATGGAGTGGATAATCAGATTCATTTTTTTATTTATCCAATTTATATAACTGCCCAAACGCAATTCTGGACAACACACAACAAATGGGTAAAACCACATATAAAAACTACAGATATAAAAGATATTAAAATCACATTAATAGTAGATTTTATATGAGGTACATCCCTAGGCAAAGAGGAAATTAAAAATAGCCACCTCAGTGATTGAGCATCAGCTGAGGAGTAGAAGCAGGACCAAAAGTGGGTAGAATTTTAGGATTATAGTCTAGCTTTTTCCTTATGGCAGTCCAGTCATCTTGTGACAAATGCCTTAAATACATATGAAATGAATAGTAACTTCCAACAGAATAGTGTGAAGAACAGGAGAATTTGTAGTTCTTCTAGAAAAACATGTGTTTCTTGGTTTGGATAAAAAAAAATCCTAAAAACTGGAATGAAACAACAGGCAGAAGCCACTTCTGTGTGTCTGCAATATATTGGAATGTTTCTCAATAATGAATCTGCCATAGCTGAAAAAGATGTATAAATTAAACAATTTTTTATCCAGTACAGAAATACAATATGTTTCCCTCCCCCACCCCCCAGTCTATTGTAATAAATTATAGTCATTAAAGATCTTTTAATAAGCCAATGAACAATTCCACCTGCATGGTTGGATGCCTTTTGGTTGTTTAAATTAGCTGCAGAAAATTTTTTAGTTCTGCTGCCGACTAAAAATATAGCTTTGGGAGAAATTGCTTTAGCAGAATGTTTGCTTTAGGAAAACTAATGCTTCTTTAAAAACTGTCAGGTTTCAAAAGCTCTCCCATTCTCACTTTGTACATTGATAGATATTGCAAACACCATGACTTTCCAGAATAATATCAAAAGAATGTGCCCTATAAGGACTACTGCTATTGGTTAAGGAAATAAGAAACACACCACAATATTGTTACTTTCGTAAGAATGTGTCTGAACAAGTTATAGGTGGTTCTTCCATCTTTTTTAAGCACAAACCAGACAGGCATGATACGTGAATCCAGGCAAAGGGTCTTTGTCCTCTACACTACAGTTCCAGCACTTAGATTGATATTCAGGATGACTGGAAAGATGAGAATGTCTTTCTCAACTTGGATGGATTGAAGAAGAGAGACTGCAGGCTGGAAGTGGAAACCCGAAGCTTGCATCCACCCATGGCCCAGAAGTGTTTGGAGCTAGATAGTTGTCTAGCCAACTATCTATCTATGTCCTAGACAGCCAAGTAATGCTTCTTGCAAACTAGTTTTCAAAATGACTAAGCATATTGTCTGAACATTAGATTATGTTACCTATAAGACACTTTAAACTGTTCAACTCTAAGTCATGAATACATATTAAAGTTTGCAGGAGACCAGAAATACTTTTTATTCAGACAATACCCATAAATAATTAGCAAGCTAGAGACATCATTGTTCTTGTCATATGCAGCAGAAGTATATATTCTTATAGTGGATGTGATAATGTAATGAATATTTTACAGTTTCTTTTGATTATTCTCAAAGACTGGATTCACACATCATGCTAAGTTATAATAGGAGGATGTTTGGTCATTTTGCTTAGCATATTATGTGATTCCAGTAATCAAGTTGACTTGCTAAAAATTATCATAAATGAATGATACTAACATTTTAGAAATTCTGCATACAATGAAATTAAATTTGATGACAGTAAGGTTTTCATAATTGTGAAAACTAATTGCTGCATCATTAATACTATCAAATAGATTATAATTAACAGACATCATAAAAATTGTTAGAACTCATACATGGACATAGAATTATTGATTCCAATACATCAAATAGATGTATGAAGATTTGTCCTTATCTGTCCTTAGTTATGACAACTATATCTGTCATTGTGAATTTATATGAAGTCCTATTGTTTTAGAGAATTATTTTGTTTTCCTCCAGCTTTCCCTTTCCTGGGCACATATTCCAATAATAGTAACATGCAGAATATATAGAAAGTTTTACTTGAGATAGTTATCATTGGAGATACTTTTTTAATACATGGAACGGATAACATTGACTGTATGAGCTTGCGTGTCACCATACCATTATTTTGAAACCAGTACCTTAAGCTTCGATATATTGCTTGAGTGATATATCATGTTTGTTCATTTTTCATGCTTCTACAGTATGCTTTAACGAGAATTTCCAGAAGCAGCCTAGGGAAGAACTTTGGTGTTGCATCGAAAATTGAAGACCATAGAGGACACTCTCATTATCACAGGCTTCTTTCAGTAAAGTAATTTATGTGTCATGTGGGAGGGTGGTGGAGGAAAGATAGTAGTTGTAATGTTACTTGATTTGTTATGTATGGTTTGGTGTAGTTTGTTAACCTAACCTGCAGAGAAAAGAGATTGAGGCTGACAGACCAAAACATTTGCAGAGGTATAGAACTTAATTGTAAGCAGGCATAATACAAAGTAAAATGCAGCGTACAGCATATGAAAGTTGTACTGAATATCAGAGCTTAAAATGAGTATGCTTTTTCATGCAGTAATACATTTCTAGGCACTTGTTTCTTCAATCAAACTTTTTGTACTCCTGAAATAACTTTTTTTTTCTAACCATGGATTTACATATATCTTTTCCTAAACAAATGCATCTAAACCTGCAGTTCGTATACATAATCCCATATCTGTCAGATGAAAAGTGACTGTTATTTAATGGTCATGAATGCAGCCCTGGAAACATGGATCTGATTCACTGTTAACACTTATTATATGCCATGAAATAGGTTTTTGAAAACACTGTCCTATATTTTCTTGTCTTGTCCAATGCAGTCCTGGACCTTGGGGATTTTTTATCAGTTAGTTCAAGTTTGTATTTCCAAGTTTGATTTTTAGATTAATGGTGTTTTGCATGGCAATATTTCATGCACTGAGTTATGATCATACATATATCTGTTGCTATATAATGTTTTTCTAGCTATAAGATGCTTTGATATGAAGAGTTTACATGGTTTATTCAGCTACTTTCCTGAAAATTGTTTAAATAGAAAGGCAAGTTATTCCTAAAATAAAGGTACCATATAGGCTGCCATAACAGAAACTCATAACAAATTGTGTTAAATATTTGTCTTGGATCATATGATGTCTAGCTCTTTCTTTTTCTTTCTTTTTTTCAGATCAGCAAAAATGGGAAGCAGTAGATTCTGGTTTACTTCTAGAAATGTCAGTGGAACTGGTTAAGACCAAAATCTGAAGGTTTATCTTCGTTGCCCATCACCAGGTGTGCACTGACAGAGGCTACCATAAAACTATTTTGAGTATGAACATCTTTTAAAATGGTATAATATATATATATGAAAGTATTGTTTTGTAATATAATTTTAAATGGTAATTTATACTGTATCATTCATTCTACAGTTGTGAAAGAACGAATGTGAATAATGTGTACTGAAGCTGAAAATAGACATTGCTCAAATTTTTTTCAGCTGGTCTTTGAGAAGTGTAATATTTGAGCAACAATATTAAATACTGTCTACATTGCTCAGCCTGTACATCCACAATTGAATTAGTAATATTTGACAACTACAAATAATAAGCTAGTGTTTTAATTATTTAGAAATTTACTCTAGGGACAACAGAACCAAAAGCAGCTGGGCTTCAAAACACTATGCGCATTGTTCATCATTTACATGAGAACGTTTCTGATAATCTTTTTCTGCCCTGCTCCTCATATATATTTTCTCACTCTCTACCAAAAAAAAAAAAAAAAAAAAAACCCTACTGCTTTCGAAAACCAATCATTTTCTGTGGTATTATTCAATAATGTAACTTTAAGGGAAGATCAGTTTTCTCTTCAGATATTTCATATGCGCACACCTTCGGATCCAGGCCACCAAAATCCTTTTATTTTGTTTTTTAAAGAACCTATAATTCTGAATTTTATTATCACTTGAATTAACATAATTAATCATAATTAATTCATAATCAAGTTTAAAGCAGCAGGCAACAAGCGCTATTTTCCTTTCTCTCATGGGTTGGATAAATGTATATCTTTTGGGGATCACGGGGCTGCCTGATTTCAGATGGTTAGCCACATCAAGCCCAGAGACTAGGTTACTGACCCTTATTCTAGAGAATGCATCTACAGTTTTCTGAATTGGTTCAGGATTTTGTCTCCAGTGCAGGTAGAATTACGGGAAGCATGTAAATGAAAACTTGGTTTCCGTATATTTTCATATATTGAAAGTACAACTAGTCCTCAACTTACCATTCATTTAGCAATCATTCAAAGCTAGTAACAGTGCTGAAAAATATGTCCTTATACGTGCAACCATTACAGTGCGCCTATAGTCACATGATCAGAATTTGGGATCTTGGCAACTGACATGAGTTTATGAAAGTTGCAACATTCCAGGGTCACATGATCAACATTTGCAACCTCCTTAGTTGGCTTCCACTAAGCAAAGTCAGGGGGTGGGGGTGGAGTTCGCTTAATGACTGCATGCTTCATACAACAACAATGGTGTTCACTTAAAATCTAGAGCAAACCTGGTCATAAAATTGGATACAACTCACTTAACGACTGCCTCAATTAGCAACAAAAGTTCCAGTCCCAACTGTGATTGTAATTGAGGACTACCTGTAAAATGCTTCCTTTTTCATCTGAACCTGAGGCTCTTATTATGTACCATACTATTAATATTATGGAACCTGTACTGCATAGTTCCAAGATGCAATGAATGAGACACATATGTATCCTGTGAACGTTTGTAGTTATTCTTGAGAAAATGAACATTTGTTGGTGTATGCTGTGCACTGGGGAAAAGAAAGCAGACTTAAACTAATAGGGTCAATTTCCTATTAAGCCTTTGCAGGGTATGCAGTAGTGGGAAGAATGGTTTGGTGAAAATCACTGTCCCTTTTTCTCCAACAAAATTCTGCTGAACCATTAGTTGAAGCCAACTAATATAAACATAAAGGACAGGAGAGATGGTAAGAAAGAAAAGTTTAATTTATTACCCTCAGTTGAATGTTCTAAAAAGATTTTATTGCAGCTGGGCTTGAAGATCAATATTAAATATGGACAGAAAAAATATGTTGGGGATAGCTAATTTAGGAAATGGGAATGCAGAGTCTGAGAAGCAAGGGTTCTGTTGGCCATCACAACTTAAAATGCATTTATTTTTAAGAATTTGAAGATTAACTAATGGGAAAATAGTGAGCAATACAAGATATTATCCATTCTTTCCTGCTCCATAATTCAATTCTGTAAAATCTCTTGCATTTTATTGTTTTTCTTTCTCTGCTTACTCAGGTTGTTTTTAGTGTTCTTTAATCATGATCGTAATAGAATCTACGGTGTTTTACTTATTAGTTCCACATCTTTATATACCTTTTTAGTTAAATAGGCATTAGTGTTAATAAGACTAGTTATAATGTTAGTTGTAACAATAGTTATGATTGTATTATTAATTTGAGGTAGAATTATAATTAAAAAATAAGATTCTAAAATTCAGCCTAATTGAATTAAATATTGAAATTTACAGAGCAACATATGTACCAATATTATTAATTTGATTATGATTCAGTTGTTTTAGAAACTAGGCCTTCTAATGCTTTAAGACAGGTATCAGTTATTTTTTTATGATTGGAAATGTTCAGTGTTCTTCCCTTCCTTAGCATATCAGTTATAATACTGAATTGTTTAAGATATGACCACATTTATGCTTGATAAATACAAATTGTATATCAAACTTTTTTACCAATAAATAACCCCATCCTCCTGACTTAAGTTTTTAGAATGACTTCAGACTTTTCTGGTGGCCAATTGTTGTTAAGCAATCAACAGTGTTTTGTGGACCTGATTTTTTTTCTTTCTTAAATGCCATTTCTTCCTCATCATTTTTGAGTTAAAAATAATTAATATTACTGTATAGCTGCAGTTTTACCAGTCATAGCATTAAAACACATTTATAAAGAATTTATCAGTTATACTTGCAAAAACTGATAAATAAAACTTCTGTAACTTCTTTAATTGCAATTAGAGTAAATCTGAAGGATTAGGAGTATCCATGTACTTAAAAGTCAGTATTTCTGCCTACCTAAGACCAAATAAATTAATCTGTCCATATCTTAAAGTATTTAGCTGAAGTGCTGAATATTTGGATATTTGTGAGAACACTTAAAATAATTTATTTTTATAACATTTGGATTTTAAAATATGTATTCTTTAGAACAATTTTTCCTTAAAAATCATGTACTTACTGCAATTATTTTCTCCATTACTAAACAAAGGCTATTATACAAAAAGAAGGTACTTTATATTGAGTGTATACTTTTTACATAGCAGTAGCAGTTGCTAGTAAAGACTTAATTTGGATCACATAGTAAATTAATCTAAGCCCTTATATGGAAAAGCATTGTGCTTTTTATTTCTGCCATAGCTTTGCCTCTAAACATTTCTCTGAATATTTGAAAACCCTATTGAACAATATGGGATGGGTTATAATTTTCTTTTACTTAACACTTCACTTACCTTGTACAAGAGGAAACCTGATTTGCAAGGAGAAAAGTGGGAATGATGAATTTACTAAACTCAAGTTTATTGTAGGATCTAAACCTGTGAATTGGTATAACAAAACTCTATCCACTGCAAAATCAGTGAGCAGCAAAAAAGAGACATAAATATTTAATCCCTACTCTGTAGCACCATGACCATCAAATGAAAGCTCCATAAATTTCCAGAATAGATTTTGATGTCAAAAGGGAAAGGAGGGAGAGAAAGCGGAAAAAAATTGATTACACTCCATTGATTGAAATCTATGTTCACAGAAGTATTGGAGTCAATATTATGTTTATAGTAGAGACTCAAATAGACATAAAAATTGGGGAACTATCTAGCAACTAACAGAAAGCAAATTATTATTCAAAGATACAGTAGATTATTCAAAGATACAGTAGTTATTTTCTCTACTGTTTCCAGTAGAGATCCAGAAGTTATTTTCCCCAGCTGCTCAAACATTCAGGAACACTGGTTAAAAATAAAAATGGGACTTTGGAGCATCAGCAATTCAAATCAAAATTCAAAGTAACATTCAGAATAAAATGTCTAACTAAGAAAGTAAATAGAAGTCCAAGGCTGGATTTACTGCTCTTTCCCAACAATCTTAATAAGCATTACAGCCTAAACTATGGGCATATATATAACTCCTTACTTGTATAGTCTCTGGCTCCCTTCTTTTTCTCTGATGAAGTATTTGCAAGTTGAGGAACCAACTTTCTTGTCGGTCTGGGCAATCTGCTAATCCAGATGGTGGGCAGAGTTTAATTTTACTGACCTAATAAGGATAATTCATCAGGTGTTTTCTTTGCAGACATCTTTGCAATCTCCCTCAGCCTTCATCTTCAACCCCTACCTGCCCTTCTTTCAAAGCTACCTTTATGCTCTCTGCAAATATTGCTTGTTGGTTGCTCTCAAGGAGGTTGGTTTGTAATTTAGTTTTAACTTCAACTCAGGATTCACACATCCATTTTTGATAGGTTTCTTAGGCTTCAAATCTAACATGGGGTAAGAAGGGACCAGCCATACTTGTTTCTTGATTTCTCTGATAACTTCTTGCCTGACTAAGCCACATAACACAGAAGAAGTATCTTGACTATCTATTTTCTGGTTCTTAACATATCCTAGTGAAGACTGGTCCTTCTGTGCTAAATAGCTAGCTTATTCTGCAAAAAACAAATTTTAATATATAAAAATAAATCCTTAAGAGAAAAAAAGGAAAACAAAAAAATCAGCTGTGAAAAATAAGATTCAATTTTTTAAAACTAAAATAAAATTGAAGTTAATCAGGAAGAAAAATGTTAGGTTGACTTATGTTTTCTACAAGAAATTACCTTTTTCAGGGAAGTAAAACAGTTTTTTGTCAGTTTTAATATGTTTTAAGACATGGGTGTCAAACTTGCCACGTCACGTTGCCGTAACATGATGTTTTGTGACATTTTCCCCATTCACGGAGCTGGGATGGGCGTGGACTGCATGTGACGCATCCAGCCGCCAGTTCAGCACCCCTGTTTTAAGATATTGGACATTTTAAAAATTGATTAACCAATTAGGAGGACTGTCCAAAATATATCAAATTCTGTAAACAAACTAAGCCTTACTCATCTTATTATGGCATCTTCTATGCTTATATTTGTCTTTTCTGGATCTTATATCTGTCAGTTATTCCAATCTATTTCTCTGGCCTTGCTATCTTTGATCCCATTTTAATTCTACCTATTTTAGGGAGATAAAAATTAAAGCAGTTGCACAGTACCTATAGTACTAATACTTAGGTTTAGGTAATTTGGATATAAGATATTTAAATAATTAGCTAATAAATATTAGGCCATTCTCATATGTTAAAACATTGCATGGAAAAACTTATTGAGGAGCTTATCACTTCAGAATATACCTGGAGGATCTGCATCTGTGAATATTCTCATAATATTTTTAAAAGTTTTTATTCAGGATAAGATGTTAAAGAAGGAGCTTGATTTAAATTTTTCTGATTTGCAAATAATAAGAATGGTTTGGATTGCCTGTTCTGCTTTTATTTTTATATAAAGTTTTTCTATTTTTACAGATTGTTTTTTTATTTAAGACTATTCTAATTCTCTTGCAAACCATATAGGAAGAAGAGAGATATAAAAGTAAAATTAATAATATAAACATGAGACCCTTCAAACATGCAGACCTTCCTTCTGTTCTGTAGTATTACTTCCATATTGCTGTATTCTATAGCATTTATGTTTCACAATGCTATGATTCAGACAACAATCCTTTGGAAGTATATATTAGCCAACTTGAATTTTGATGCTAAAATTTCATGAAACAGTTAAATTAGTTCAAAAACCTATAAAGCAGTATAAGGTACTTCAGAGTACATGTGGATCTGTCCATTCTGAGCAGTGAATTTTGAGCTTTAATAAATAGTCTAAAAAGCGCCTACATATATTACATTAGACCAGCTGAACCTAATTTTATATATGCTTTATTCAAAAGCATCACATAGCAAGTAAACTTCAAAATTAAGTGTAGTTACAAATAGTTGTTTCTTATTTTTTTTTCCAGTCCCCTTTTGCTTTCTTTAACGACCACATGAAACTTGAGAAGCCATCTAAAGCTAAATCATTTAGTGGAGTTGGGCAGTTCCCAAGTGTCCAACAAGAAGGCCTGGTTTAGGCTGCGATGGCCACTGTCATTCCTGGTGATTTGTCAGAAGTAAGAGATACCCAGAAAGTCCCTTCAGGGAAACGTAAGCGTGGTGAATCCAAACCAAGAAAAAACTTTCCTTGCCAACTGTGTGACAAGGCCTTTAACAGTGTTGAGAAATTAAAGGTTCACTCATACTCTCACACAGGAGAGAGGCCCTACAAGTGCACACAACAAGACTGCACCAAGGCCTTTGTTTCTAAGTACAAATTACTAAGGTATTAAACTCTATTTATTTTTCAGATTATATTATGTGTTGGCCATTTTAATATATATCTGTGTACACTCAGCTGACTTTTCTGAGAGGAAATGTTAATTTAGACATCAAATTGTACAATTATAAACTACAGTGCTTAATATTATAAACAAATCTGAATATTGTGTGTGTGTTTTTGATGAGAAAAGTTTAAATCTTTTCAGTTATATAAACTTGTTACAAAGAAGTGAACGGACTGAGCACTTTGGGTATGGCTATAATAAGTAATACTACATAATAAAATGTTAATGTAACTTAAAATCACCAAAGTAGCAGTTGACTAAATTAGCTTATAATGTGTGTTGCTACATTTTAGTATGATGTGTATTGTCTGTAGTGACATGTCATGTAAATTTGTTTCAAAAATATTTAGTATTTAGGTACCGTAAAAATATGTATCTTCTGGTCAAAATAAATACTTACAGAATATATCTGTGTTTAAAGGCATATGGCTACTCATTCTCCTGAGAAAACCCACAAGTGTAACTATTGTGAGAAAATGTTTCATCGAAAAGATCATCTAAAGAATCACCTACATACACATAATCCCAATAAAGAGGCCTTTAAGTGTGAAGAATGTGGAAAGAACTACAATACGAAGCTTGGATTTAAGCGTCACCTGGCTTTGCATGCTGCAACAAGTGGTGATCTCAACTGTAAAGTATGTTTGCAGACATTTGAAAGCACAGGGGTACTGCTGGAGCACCTAAAAACTCATGCAGGCAAATCATCGGGTGGAGTGAAGGAGAAAAAACACCAGTGTGAACATTGTGATCGACGGTTTTACACCCGAAAGGATGTCCGAAGACACATGGTAGTACACACTGGAAGAAAGGACTTCCTCTGTCAATATTGTGCACAGAGATTTGGCCGGAAGGATCATCTAACACGGCATATGAAGAAAAGTCATAATCAAGAACTTTTGAAGGTCAAAACAGAGCCAATGGACCTTCTTGACCCATTTACTTGCAATGTTTCTGTGCCTATAAAGGATGAGCTGCTTCCAGTGATGTCTTTATCTTCCACTGAACTGACATCAAAGCCATTTACAAACACTCTACAATTAAATCTATACAACACACAACTTCAGTCCATGCAGAGTTCAACATCTGCACACCAAATGGTTGCCACATCATTACCTTTAGGAATGCCTTGTCCAATAGATATGGAATCAATCCACCCTTCTCACCAGCTTTCTTTAAAATATCCACTCAGTTCTACCTCATATACAGTTTCTATGACTGAGAAAGACCAGCCATTGAAAGGGGAAATGGAAAGTTACTTAATGGAACTGCAAAGTGGTATGCCTTCTTCATCCCAAGATTCTCAAGCATCATCATCTAAGTTAGGGTTGGATCCTCAAGTAGGTCCACTAGATGATGCATCTGGGGATGTTTCTCTTTCCAAAAGTTCTGTTTCTATAAGTGAACCTCTAAATACCCCGTCACTGGACTTCTCTCAGTTATTCAATTTTATACCAGTAAATGGACCTCCTTTTAATCCTTCTGTTTCTGTGGGAAATCTTGGAATGAGTTACTCACAAGAGGAAGCACACTCATCTATGACTCAGCTTCCTCCACAGGCACAAGACCTTCAAGACCCTGGTAATGGTATTAGCCTTGGGTCTCTTCACTCATTGTCTGCAGCTTTCACTAGCAGTCTAAACACAACCACAACTCTACCACGTTTTCATCAAGCGTTCCAATAAGATGAGAAAATCGCCTTGTGACAAATCTGTAGAAATGCCTTAGATGACTTTAAATACTGTAGTGCCTACTATGTCATTTGTAAATCTACTTTTGTACAGTACCAGTCTCATTAAGCCAGTATAAAATTCAAATTAACTTTTAAAATATTTTGAATGTGTTTGTTCACAGTTGTTTACTCTGGGTGTTAAAACAATCTGCATCGTCACTGCCAATAGATCCACAATTTTTAAAAAGTCTATGAAAAAAATATTTCCAGAATGTTATGGATCTCTTGTTTTGAAGCTTCATTGAGATTTGATAATTTTTATGGTAATTAAATGAGGCTCTTCTGATAATTTTAAGAAAGAATAAAATATTAAAAATTTGGTTTCATGAAAAATGTATAAAACAATTGAAACGATTTATAAATGAATACATTTGTTACCAGTATGAAAAATTGTTCAGCTTTTTACGTGTACATTTCTAAGAAGGTCTGAAGGACCTATTATTTTTTCTTAAATAATTTCATAATTAGGGGTATAAATGTATTTCTTCATTTAAGTGCAATTACAAAGAAGTATGATTTGGCAAAAAAACCCTATGCCTTATTGGCAACTTTAATAGAGACAAAATTAAGAGCTTATTTTGAAATATAAATATTTTGGTTTCATCATTCTGTAAATATCTGTTATTTTCTATTCTCATTTAAAATATGAGTCAAAATCTGCCAAAAGGTTTCACATGTTAATTTCAATTTGAAGTTAGAAAATGAATGTAAATCCACAAATATGTTTTTTCCATAATTACATTGGAGCTAAACACTTTTGAGTTGTATTTCATGACATATATTGTCCCCTGTGCAAGACCTTTGATGGTAATCTTCCTTACCACACCTGGGTATTTGGCTAGTGATTTTTTTTCAATGCCAAGAATTTAAAACAGGACTCTCAGGAGTGAAGTAAAAGCATATTGCTTATGCCACTTTTACTTAATATTCAAGGTATTTAGAAAAACTAATAGCAAAACAGCTATTCATGCTGTGTGTCAAATTGCTACTCCTTTTCAAAACACATTCTTATTTTCCCAGTAACCAAAAGAAAGAAAAACTGTGATATAAAAATGGAAAATGTACTTTTGCTGTAATTTGGAAACATATCCACTGATACCTTTAGATTTTTAAATCATATAATTATGACTATTCATTAGTGTGGTTAAATACATGAGTTTTAAGTAGTTAAAGGAAATATATTTAACAGAAACAAAGTTGCTCCCATTAAGGAGCTTTGGCTCCCAATATTTGTATCATAAGTTCCTACTTTATCGTAGGAGCAATATGCAGGTATGATTTTACTATTTTATACTGATGTATTTAAATTTTATTACTGAATAATAACTTTTATAAGTGTTTTGTTCCAAAGGCATTAAAATAAGGATGTATTAATAAGGAAAAGACCTTTTCAAATTTTGTAAGCTGCTCCAATATGCTGTGAGAATACTTTCTCAAAGTAGTCATTAGCTCTGCTGCATGATTGCTTCTTTTAGTTTCTATGAAACAGATTGCTAAAATGTATCTTTAATGGAATGATTTGTTCAATATTGCTTTTCAGGCTTTTAGCACCATTATTTTAATCCCAGGGGTTGGCGGGATTTCAGAAAGGAGAAGTCTTTGTCTTTTCAAAGGACTAATATTCTACAAGAAATGTAAATGTCCTTATGTGCCTTTTTTGTAGATGGTGATTACTTTCAACCCTTAAAAACAGAATTGGCTTCAGCTTCATTGTCTTTATCCCAGTTTTTTTTTTCATTACTCATAATTGTTTGTGTTCCTAGGAAAATACTGTCATTAGACAGATAATCGAAAACAAATTTTCAATCATTAAAGAAGTGAAATGAACCAATTTTAACCTATCAGTTTTTCATATTTACCACTTCATATAATTACTTATAATTTTTGACAGGGTTGGTATGTATAAAGCATGTTATAACAATGTTATCTGTTTTCAGTATTAGTTGCTGGTTATCTTGTTTTTAGAAATAAGAACTAGTTTTTCCAGTAATCCTTGATCCATGTTAAAGGTCCATATTGTTATGGCAGCTCTTTCAGTTTCTGAAATGGGATTAATTAGAGAAAAGGTGCATTTCAAATTAGCAATAGAATTTCAGACAAGATATTGAACCTCATTCAGTTAGTACTTTGATAAATGGCTACACCTTGTGTGACTGTCACTGAAGATGTATGAATATATGGAAGCAGAATGACAGTGTGGGCGTTATTTACACACTAGTGCTTTATGACTATCATTTAAGCAGAGATTTTGTTTGGCAACTTTAAAATGACAATTTTAAAGCCTTTTATAATTACCAGGTTAACTCTTAAGAATGAAGTGTTGTGTGTGCTGGCTGCTCATGCACCACACTTTGTATACTATGGATTTAAAAATATTATATATATATATATGTCTATATATATATAATTTGCTTATGTTTTATTAGTAGTGAATTGTGGAATAGAGTGATTTATTCATTTGACAGTAGAGGTTTTCAAAAACCATATACTGACTAAAACATGAGCCAGACCTGATTGCTTTATTAAGCTAATAATGAATGTTAAGAGTACATATTTTCAGGATCTTTTACCTAGTGAGCTCTATATGTATTTTACGCTGTGTGTGTGTGTGTGTGTGCGTGCATGTGTGTGCACACGTGTGTGTTTTAAACTAAAGCTCGATCAATTTCTGTGTTACACATAATACAAGATATAGCACTTTCAAAACAAAAATATAAATCTTATAAAAAATTTCTTGCAGGTTATGCTTTCTGCTTTTTTAAAAAAAAATATTACTTTTTCAAGTGCCATTAGATGACATATGCAGGCCTTTGGTATAATGCTTTGGGTACAATATGGTAAACAGTGTAACTATTAACAGGTACATCATAAAGTATTCTTTTTTATCAATTTGCTCTATTGCACAGAACTAGAGTGTCTTTTTAAAGAGTTTTACAGTAGATTCCTAGGTTTACACGTTTCAACATATCTTTTACTGCCATTTAATATCAGTCCAATAATTGAGTGGTTAACCATATTTAAGTGTATACATAGAATTTGGAGGTTGCAGTCATGTGCCCACAATTGTTAGCGGAATCTCATATAATTCAATGGGAATTACATTAAGCACAGGGTTTTAGGCTAACAGCTCAGCCCTGTACATTTTATTTGGAATACCTTTTAAGTTTAGTGAAATTTATTTTATGCATTATTCATAGAAGACAAATCTTCAAAATGTTAATAAACAGAATTTCAAAGTGTGATATCCTGCCACGCAGTGCTGTTGTTAAAATTCAACATAGGTTGATCTTATGCCTATTAATATAAAGAAAAGGATGAAGCTCTTAATTATTTGTCTCATACACTGGTTGATCAGGTTAAAATAATGTGCCTCTGAGTACAAAGATCTCTACATTTACATTAAATGTAAATGAATGACAGCTGCCTATCAACATCCTATCAGTATACAGTAAGTTAACCACCCATTTGAAATTAGAGATCATTTAAAGTAAGTCATGTTGATTAACATACCCTTCACCTTTATAAAGGTGCCCACATGTTGAAAGTCCTTGACTTTCAATAAGTATTTATCCCTAATTAATATAGAACTATTGTTAACTGCATGCAAAGATTTTTCAGTATCCGCATCAGTGGTACAATTGAACCAGAATGAATGTTTATTGTCTCAGAAACACTCCTACAAATATATTATAGTGGATCATGCTGCTAATATAACTTGGGATACAACTCCTCTCATGGTGCTACAGATCTCCCTGTCTCATTTAGACTGTGTATTTTTATCCATAGAGAAAGGCCTATACTAGATTTATAGATGTATATTTTTATACTGTGACTTAATTTGTCATTTAATGAATTTTGTATACCACAATTTTTTCATATACACTTGCAAAATGTAAAAACTTGGACATATATGCCCAAATAAACCTTTCATCCAAACTAAAACTAATAGGGCTTTTAATATGGTGTGAAGTGAAGAACATACTTGTTTATAAAAGCTCTTAAATATTGACAGACTGGGAATTAACATAAAAAGGATGACATCTGAAACAAGCTTGGATTGCTGAAACTATATTTTTAGATAGTGAGAAATGTTTGAACTTGTGTGCTAAAAAGTTTCAGTGATACAGATTTTGAGTCAAAATAGAAAAATGCATTCCAGATTGAATTTGTGTATTTCATTTAAAATTACTATCCTGTGATATGGAAATTTGTGTTGCTTATCATGTATATGTACTTTACAATGTATTCACAAACTACTGTTGTATTTGTATAAAATATAGACAAAAGATTGCATATATATTTTTGTGTATAAGCTCTGTAAAATAGCTATCACATTATGAAGCTGCAGCAGAAATTCATTTTAGACATTCATATCCAAAGAAACAGACTATTTATTGTCCACATACCCTGATAAAAATATAACTTGCTGCTATTAAACAATAGTGCTGCAGCTTCTTGTGGCCTACAGTGTTATGTTTGCTGTACAAAAAAGTATGTGAACTCCACAAAATATCAATAAAACTACAAATGGTTTTAGTTATGTACAAAATATGCCTGGATTTAAGTGGCTGTATGTTGTTTATCTGTTGTTGCGGTAACCACTAATGTCTTTGAGCTACTTTTTAAATTTGTGGATAATTGTTAATCTTACTGTTTGAAAGAAGAATGATAAATAGCATCACTGCATCATTGGCCTGAGAATAAGGGAAACTGCTGGGTAAAATGCATACCCCACATTATAAATTTTTGTATGACAGAGAAAAAAAGTCTCCAGAGGTTTTTCCTAAATGAAGAACTTATAGTTTGCCACTAATTATGCTGCATTTTAGAACACCTTACAGATTATCCTGGATTTTTCTTTTCTTTTTCTTTTGGCCTTTGAATCAGTTTTTAATTCCTGGAGATTGCCTGGACTAGTTGCTGCAGTTTCCTTAGCAAAGTTTTTAAGAAATGGCTTGCCACAGCTGCTTCTTAGGGCTGAGAGAAAGTGACTAGCCCAAGGTCACCGGCTTTGTGCCTAATGCTTTCACTTTTCTCTCATGATTCCAAAAAACAAAATTTAATAAAACTTATAAAAGAATATGCAGTTTCTGTTGAGGACAACATTTAAGGGGTTCCACATTAATAATAGATCAGTCCAGGATTATTTGTTTTTGTGTTTTGAGAATGTTAATGAAATGCGTACCATGTTTCTGAAAGACTTTGACTTTTAGTCCCTCCTCCATGAAAAGTGGGTACTGGAATATTTATCCATGCTTAGGAGGAGAACTCAGAAGGAACACTGGCTGCTTCTTGCAGCCTTAAGCCCTTAAGATCACAAAGCAAAACTGTGCAGCCCTAAATGTGAAAATGTTTCAGTGAAAAATCCCAATTAAAATAACATTGCCAGTATGTCGGCTACTAAAAAGAATTCCTTTTGAAAGATGGGGAAATGGAAAAATATGAGAAGGGAACCATCAATTGTTTCCCACAAAATGTTACCCCCGAAACAAACTTTGTACTCTCTGTACAGTATGTGAACCCATTCAAATAAAAATAGACTAACCTTGATATCTGAAAATTATATAGATAACAAGTAAAATCTTATTAGAGAAAGGATAGTCAGAATATTTTAGAAGGATTAGGTTGAGCAAACTCATATTTTTGTGAAATTGAAATGTGAAAGCCATGGTCATACATATTTTATAGTTCTATGAGTTCTTCCATGTCTAATATTAATCCAGCAATTTGAAAGTATTATACTAATTACTATTTGAATCTATTTTCCTCTAAATTTCAGTAGTGAAACAAATGCCCTGTTACACAGTACCTGAACAAATTGTACAAATACAAGATTTAGACTAGTATTGGAAGATTCAATTTATTCACGTTTCTCACAACATTACCAATTCTAGTAAGCTGAAGAAGCTGAAGTGAACAATTTCCAGTAGCCAAATCCTCTAAAGCAGTGTTTCTCAACATTGGCCATTTTCAGATATGTGGAAGTCCACTGCCAGAATTTTCAATGGTCATGCTGACTGTGGAATACTGGGAGTGGAAGTTCACACGGCCAAGGTTAGGAAACACTGTTATAAAGTCAATGGTGAAAAGCAGTATTAAAGCTCGAGATCCAGATGACTGTAAACTCTGGTGTTCTGCAAGTGTAACTGAATTATATGAGAAATAGGAATTCTTTTATAAAAAGTTATATTTCATAGAATCTATCACATTATTCAGATCCACTCAGTTTTTTTTAATTGACACCATTTCGTATCAACATTGGAAACATGAAATATGAGGTGAGTGAATCTAGCAAAACTGGTTTCTTCATAAGAGTACACTTAATTGAGAATAACCTGCTAAGCCTTTTTTGATATGGGAACAATAAAATAGTTGATGATTCATAAGTTGGGTTTTTCCTCTTCACTTTGCATTGGAAATTTGAAGAACATATAAGATTTGTGATTTCCTCACAAATAACATTTATTTATAGAATTTATATAGCCTCCCATCCTACTGGCATGTGACTCTGGGAGGCCTATACAATTAAAAACAAACTAGCAACATAATTCAACCATTAAAATATAACAACAACAAACACAGGGAAGAGTGAAGTCTACACTTACACCAGCCAATTAATGGACTCCACACTTCCATGGGACTCCCCAAGCCTGATGGCAAAACCCAAATTTGACGAACTTCCAGAAGTGCAACAGGGTTTGGTCCAATCTTACCTTGTGGAGGGGTGATGTTCCAGAAGGTGGGTGCCAGGCCAGAAAGGGCTGTCTTCCTGGGTCTCATCAAATAGTTCCTTGAACCACAACATTCATCTTCTGCCAGATCTGATGGGAT